GATATATGTAGTATATGTTGGACATAAGGGTGTGCACTTACAAGACTCCCGAATAATCCATTTTATTGATGGTTAGTTATTTATTTATTTTTTTCAATTTCGAACACCTTTGAATGAATTCCTGAAAATGTAACCGCTCATTGAATCTGTAAATTTATTAAACTTAGGTAATAATAAACCTTCATTCATTCAAATTTCAAAATCTTGTTCGGTTTCGGTTTTTAGGGACAAACTTAAAAATAATAGGCGAGATGGTGTACAAGGGCGATCTCGTAATAATTGACATGTGGAATATAATACCATATTAAAGAAAATAGTTCGTCCCTAAAAACCGAAAGAGTTAGGCTACGTTTGGCACGATTTTAGAATTCTTCTCACTTTCTCGCCAAGAAAAATGCGGTTGTTCGACTTTTTAAAAAATAAACCCCGATCCAATTCTTTCTAGTAAAAAAATTTCAAAAATTTATTGCTCGTTCCAACATAGTTAGACTATCACACTATAATAAATATTTTCATCACCAAAACATCATTTAAAATACTCTTTCTCCGAATATTTTTGTCACGGTCCATTATACTTTTCTGAGTTTCTCCTAACATTTCAAAGGGTAAAATAGTAATAACCGAATCATAAAAAAAATAAAAATAAAAAAATAAAATCGAAAATGAAGGGTCAAATCAAATAGGCAAAGGATGAATGTCATGGGAAAAGGTTGTCTAACCATGTTTTGTATTAACTTCCTCAAAAGTCTTGTCACACTACTCCTGCATGCTGCTCTGACATTTGCCCACCCAAATGTTTTTTTCTCTTTTATTTTCAATAACCCTATTAATTAATTATTTAATATATGTTTATAGATTTATTTTATTTTTAATTTTTCCAAAAACTTAAATTAAATTTATGATATATACTATTCAAGATTTAATTGAGTTTTATCTGCATAACTGAATTTAATCAATTATTGAGCCATATAAAAAGTTAAATGTCGTTTCAATTTTACGAATATCGTTTTGATTTGAAACGTGATCTTGACGTCTTTCCAGTATATATGTTGTTTGTATAGATGTTGTTTGCAAGTTTTCTTGATACACACACAATGTTCATTAATTCATACACACATATATATTTCTTACTAGACATCCAATCTCGGTGATTCGACTTGGATTACAAAGAAAACTCAAAGAACTACGAAGTGACGTGTGTTTTGAGTTTTGCCCAGCTTCGAATTGAAAATGGTCAAAATCACGTATAAAGTCTAAACGGTATAACTAAAATTGAAACGATATTTATCGTAATAACATTTTTTGCAGCTCAAAATTATATTTCCATTTAAACTGAAAAAAATAGTATCATTGAACAATTTATGCTTTTTCTTCCTGAAAATGATTGGGTGTTAGTTAGAAAATTGAAGGGGGTTTTATGAACAATGGTACTTTAGAAAAGACAGATAGTAACATTTTAATAAATAAAGTACCATTGGGACATATATCTGTCCAAATTACATGTGACCATTGAATTAAGACACAATAGAACAATATGGTATGTCACTTATAATTAAGAAGACCAGTAGTGTGTACAGTAGACGCTCGTTTTTTCGAATTTGTGATTTTTTTTTCAGATCGAATTGTTCCACCATTTTATGTGATTTTAATCCATAAAATCACCAAAAAACTATTCATTGTAAGTAGAAACTTCTATTTTTTTCAATTTTAAGACAAATTTATGGACCAATTTTGAGTTTAAATGACTTTTCCAATTTAATTTTAAAATTTTAAAATCGTTATTCAATTTTAGAAGTTCAACAATATTAAATGTAATAAATTTAGAGTGATAATATTTCCACCTCCAAAGTATCTCCATTCACCACTAAAGATTATATAATGTCATAAATACCCCTCAAATTTATAATCCATCACCCTTCCTTATATTCACTTAATCCTCATGTGTTCTAAGTTATTTCTATTTTTTAATTTTCTTAAAAAAAAAATTTAATTTTTTTATTTTTTACAATGAAATATTTATTACAAGATATTAAAACTTCAATATCAGATGACCCGCAGACTATGTAATTTTTTTTAGGAAAAGAAATTATATTAAGCCACACTGTCTAATTCCGGAGGATGTTCGGGACCTCCATACACACTCCGTAATTTATTTATCAAAAAACTTGAATTCATGCACTTTTTGACCTTCGAAAATATTTTTCTCTGACGAAAGGATTATTCATTTAAGGTGGAGAGGGTGAGATTTCCAATGAAAATTGTGAGGTTTTTTTATAAATATTTTTAATTAGTTTAGTGGTAGACGGTTAATAAATTTGTATAAAGTATAGGTGAAAGAAGAAGAAAGCGATAAAATAAGAAATATATTTAATTTGACGGTGAAATAAAAAAAATTTAGGGTTGAAATAGCACGTCTCTAAATTTAAGCATATGCTCTAGGAAATTAAAATTATAAAAATGAATGTGTTTAATAAAACCGTCCTCTATTTATCAAAAAAAAATTCCGATAATTAAAAATAATTTATTAATCCCACCAAAAAGTAGGCTGGAAAATTCTCTTACCCACAGAAACAACCGTCTACGCCGTTAGTGTTTGTTTGGGGACTTTGACTGGGTGTGGTCCCCAATAAGACGGCTGGACTTAACAGAAACGTCAAAAATCAATTGTCAGCGACGACTTTTTAATGTTCTGACAGAAATAATCTCTGAGAGAGTAGGCTCTAAAAAAAATATATGCAGCTCACTTTAAGTAATGGTAGTATTTAATAAAACATTTTGGTGCAAGTAATTTTATTTTATTATTTTTTTTTTAAATATATTCTGCAACTTTAAATAATGGTAGTATTTAGTAAAACATTTTCAAATAATATAGAAATAATAAATTTAGGTTATAGAAAATAATAAATTAAGTTATTAATAGCATATAGTATGTATTAGTAGAAGTTAGTACATAAATTAAATTCACCAAATAAAAGAAAAGCTGGCAATATTGAATCCAATCAATGATGTATAATGAAAAATTAGAGCACGTAAGCCAATCTATAATACCCCGAGAAAGACAGTAAACGAGACAAATTCATATCTAAATGTGAAAAAAAAATACCCGGAGATTAATAGCAGATCTCATCTTTTCCGAAGGAGCTAAAAGACAACCTAGTCTTCTTGTCTGATCCGAAATTGAATTTAATATCAGAACCATCATTTTGAGCCGAGGCGTTGCTGGTAGATGGAAACGAGAAGACGAGGCGCGGGGTTGACTTCTCTGTGGCGAAGGTGTAGGAAGGTACTGTGGGCCCAGCACCACCGATGGGCTGAGACGATGACGGTGTGATGGAAGGTGTTGGCGGTTCGGCGAAACCGCCGCCAGCAGAAGCTGAAACCGGGAAAGTGAAGCTTGGCCCATTTTCTGAGGGGACTGACTGTAAAAAAGCCTTGTTGACGGAAATCGATTTTAACAAGGGTTTGTTGTTCCCGTGACTTTTCGGAAAATCTTGGCTGGTTGTTCCAGCTACTATCTTTGAATCCTGTCCGTTGATTGTTTGAGATCGAAAGAAATTCATATTTGTCGAAGTCTGCAGTAATGAAATTGTTGATCAGTGTTTTTACCCAAGTAGAATAACAGTCAAGAAAAAAACAGAAATCATAGATAACAATAACATGCAATCCACAGCATAGATTCAAATATTTGATTGACAAACATTTAAAACAACAAAAAAAAACGTGAGAATGTAACGAGAACCAACAGGGCGTAGAAAAATAACATACTGAATTAAGATGAAGTACCTCGTTCGATTTGTTTTCCACAAGACCAGTAGTTCCTTTGAGACCAAAAATCGACGTTGCCTTTGCACCAGGTGCAATACTCGAACCCGCAAAAAATGAGCTAGATGCTTTAGAATTTTCATTAACTGCATCTTTTGCCTCATCCATGCTTTTCTCGTGAAAATTCGGTAAAAACTTGGACTTGTGAGAAGCAACTCCACCGATATTTTCCTCATGAATGGTTTTAGTGGCATCCGTGGAGCTTCTCCATGGAGTTGCCAACTTCGTTTCCGCTTCTTTTTCTTTAGGGTTGGGCTTGTTTCTGTCAAGGTGTTCCAGTATTTTCTTAACTGCTTGACTTTGACTAGAGGATATATCTGAATTCGAGATAGCCCTATCAGAGGAATCTAATACATTGTCCCCTGACCAGTATTTTGGGGTACCACTTGTTTCACCAAGTTCGAGATTCTTTTCTGAACTAGGCAAGAAACCTCCAAAAACTTTGGGTGTTGCCATTTTAGGAGATTCATTACGCGAACTCATGAGAATAGATCCTCTAGGGCGCACTTCTGAAGCAAATCTATTTCTGATTCGACGAATAGGTCCAACCGAACCATAGACATCAGCAGTTTCACCCCTCGACTTTACCTTGAAAGTTATTAGGAAACAAGACATCCAAAGTTTAAATTGGTACGAGTTTTAAAAAGCGTGCTTCTTTAACCTCCTCATAAACATATTTGATCATAAGAAATAATCATAAAAAAGCCAATATTGTACCTGCCCATACGTGGACGTTGAAGATCCTTGAATGGGAGTTGATGTGTTTGCATACTCACTATCAGTTTGAAACTGAGTCGACAAAACATAGACAATAAAAATAAGTTATCCTATATCATAACAAGTATTTAACAAGGATAGTGTTGCATACCTTTGTTGTGGATTTCGAAAGTACGGTTCTCGAATACGGGGTTCTTGGAAAATCATGAAGGCTGTGTCTCGTCCTCTGACTCTGAGGCGTCGCATAACTATGTCGTTCATGCGCCATAGAACCAGGCCAACATATGGATGGCTTAGGCGATGCCGATGGCAAAAGTGGCTTTCTTGCAAATTCATAGCTCGTTTGAGCTCTTTCTCGTTTTGATGTTGGATTGTAAAGATCTTGGCCTCCTTCAGAGGTACGACCAGCCATGTATGCACGAGCAATGTCAATTGGGGAAGCACTAACTCCAACTGGAATCTGCACAATTTTCTGAACCAGGTAAAGTTTCATTTACAGAAAGTATGCCATAAAACAATCCGAACTCTGAAGGGAATATGCATCAATATATAAGAGAAAACAATGAAAGATGCAGAGACAGACTATACCCACATCTGGCTTTTCACGGAAAGAATCAACCATGGTTCTGTGAATATCTTCCGGTTTTTCTTGAGATGGTGTTCTTTGAATTTCGTTCGTCCATGAAACCAATTGAGTATCTCCTCCAGCATTACTGCTTGAAATCTGCTTATCCCCCACATTCTCAACCCTTGAATTCAATACCTCCATCAAATGACTGATTTCCTCCCTGCAATTTCGAACAAAAATCTGCAATGTCATATTTGCACTAACCATGCATAGAAAAAAAAACATTGAGCAGACTCAGAGACGAGAACTAGATAATCTATAGAAGAGACAGGAGAAATTCATCCCTTAAACTCGAGTACATACCTCGACAAATTCGATAAATCTCAAACCATAAAAACAATATCCAGTCTGAAAATCTAGCAAGTGCATAGGAATATGTAATTATACACACACAGTGAACTCAAAAAAAAAAAGGTCACTTGGCATTCCGAAATCATGACTGATACACACTAGTTAGGCTAATAAAATGGTTCACACAATAGACGCTAAAAACACGTAAAAAATCCTATCAGCAAATTAAAGAGAGGCACAAAACATTTCTTATTATGGCATGCTCTAAATCTAACTTCCCCAGCTCAAATAATTGACAGATCGAACAGGAGATCAAAATAGCAAATTGCGAATGGCTTATTCTAATTGAATGCAAGTTCAGCAACGCTTTAATCACAAGAAACTAAAGTAATGGATACATATTTCCCCCCCCCCCCCAAAACCCCCAAAAAAAATTACTTGTGCAATTGCTTCCTATAATTAGCCATTATTAACTAAACAATTAACAAAGACCAAAACAACTGATGAATTCTTTATCCATCCGATCAACAATGCACCAATAGATGAAATTAATCCCCATAATTGAACTTCCAATACTCAAAATTAGGGCAACCTTCAGAAATATGAAAAAAATTACCTTGAAAAAGTATTCCGTTTAATCAACTCCTCGATTCTAGAAAAATTGGAATCGTACTGCATGCCGCCGTCTTCTTCTGTAGATCTGAGCACCGGAGACTGCATAAAATCGAAGAAAAAAAATTCGCATATACTCGGAAACAAAATAAAAATCGGAAAATTAAAAAAAGAAATTCAGCGAATACAGCTGTTGGAATCGGAACCTGTTCCGTCCTGCGTAAATTGCCGCCGGAGGTATTCATGATTTTGCCGCCGAAATCAGAATTTAGGTTGCAATACGGTGAATAGAGAGTGGTTCTGTACTGTATATACGGCGGCCGACGTTTTTTTACTCGTCGACCATAATTATCGCCGATCGCGCTTTTATTTATCGTGTTAAAGAGTTTACTTAACCCCTAATTACTAGCGTTTATTGCAATTTGACCCCTTAAGAATTGATTTATTGTTTTAGTGGGTGATATTGGGACCAATGTATATATAATGCCCATACCAATAATCTTGGTTATTAACATTTGACCCCCCTTAGTTATTGATTCGGTTTTTCGACTTTCTCTATTTTCTTCGAGGAATCAACGCTCGAACATAAGTTATGTGTGAAAATTTTCATTTAAAGAAGATATTCAAACTTGAACTACCTGACTATCTTATTCCACCAATTAAGCCATGCATATTTTTTTTTTCTTTATCTACAATAGATGCATATAATCGACTCCAAAAAGTCTTTTTATTTCAAAAATTAATATTAAAAAGTCACTTTATAAATACATATCTCTCTCAATCGACATTAAACAATTCAGTTGATTCAAATTGAATTAGAAAAGTCAATCCAAAGGAAGTCCGAGAATCTTCTCGGAGTTGTCTAAGTATTGTAAGGCTCCTTCCTATATAGAGAGAGGTCATGGTACGGATGGTTGATTTCGTAGCGCTTAATCGTGGTTGGAGCATTCGTTCTTCCTTACACAAAACGCGCTTCCCGATCTAGCCCATTCACCTAGGACCTATCCTCACCTCTTGTTCATAGGAGGCTACAAAATTGACATTTCGAATTTTGTCAAATTCAGACGAGAAATATCATATTTGAAAGTCACAACAATACTAATAAAATTGAAACGATCTTTGCACATCCCATTATTTATTGGACAAACTATGCTTTGATTCTTGATTTTTTTGTATTAACATGCAAGCTAAGGCCCATTGATTCTTAATTCATCAAAAGAGTTTTCTGTCTCAATATTTTTCATATATGATTTAGTAAATAAAAATATACCCAAAATAAAAGCAAACGTTACATTGATTCTAATAATAAAATTCCAAAATGTATGAACACCAACTCAGTATTATTGTTAAATAGCAAATAGTTGTATTCACATTCTTCTACAAGCAAATTAAATAACTAAAATATTTAAAAACAATTAATAAAAAAAAAGTTAAAACTTGATTTCAGCCAGGCTAATTATAACAAAATTGTAGAGTCTTGCCCTTCAAATTCATCCTCAGCATCCCAAAGAAACCGAGCATATGAAGCCATAACATAGCTGCACAAATGGAGAATAAATAAAATAATAATTAAATAATAAAAAATAATAAAAAATAAAATAAAAATAAATTAAATTAAATTAAAGTGTGATTCTCACCAATTGTTTGGGGCTGCTTTAATAGCTCGGTCAAAATAAATAAGGGCACGTGTTGCATCCTCATACGTTTGCCAAATTAAATCAGCATATAATGAGAGAATATTCCCATCACTTGGATCTGCCAAAATTGCCCTCCCAAAATACTCTTCTGCCTTTTTAACATCTCCACAACACTGCTCATCATTCACCAAATTTCACATACAATTAGCTAATTAATTATGATGTCAATGTATTTCAATTTAGTGATTAATATATATCAAGTAAAAAGAAATAGTACTTAGAAATAATATTATAATAGAAGTTAAACACATTCCTTAATCACTTTCTTAATACGCTAGCATGTTTTATCGAGATCTGAAGCTGATTTGAGCATACGACGGTTCTTGACCTAACTCTTGTTTTTTTTGACGCATGTTACAATTCAAGTGATGTGTAAGGAGTATCAATTGCGGATACAATCGATCCTGACTGTATTACATTATAACGAATTCTAATACGACGAGCATGTGCACGTGGTACAATTTTTTTAGTCATTATATTCGACTTATTTATACCGATCTAGATCTGTTTCTCAATGCAGGGTTTCCAATTTCATAACAAAATATTTTATCGTAAATATTACGACGAGTGAATTGAAAAAGAAAAAAAAAACTAATGACGTTAATTTGAACAATAATAATGTAATTTCGGACAGAAAAATCGAAGTTAAATCGTGGTCCCTTTTTTTTTATAAATAAAAATAAAATAAAATAGTTCCACTATTTCAATTCACATATATAATAGATACAACAAACACAAATATTTATGATAAGAGTGTAATTAGAAGTTAATTAAACACAATTTATTAAGAATTAAGACAATCAATATATATATTAAAATTTAAAATAAAATAAATCTACCTCGTTCAAAAATCTTGCATAGTTGCTTAAAACCATGGAGTTTCCAGGGTTGGCCTCAATCATCTCCTGATAATACACGTCCATACTTCCGCTCTCGTGATCCGCATCCCAGCACCCGAATCCACCTTCGTACCCATCTCCGCCGCCGCCGGAGCCACCACTTCCGCTGCCTGAGCCGCCGCCACCACCACCCTCCGTCGTCGCCACCCTCTTGCCACCTCCAATCTTGAACCCCTCTTCCAAACGCGCCGCCACTACCTTCTCTCCCTCGTCGTCGTCATCCTCGGAACCCGTCGAAACCGGGAATATTATCCCATGCATGCACGCGCGGCCGCACTTAGTACTACTCGCTCGGACGAGCATCTTCTTGATGACGTCATCGTGGTCGAGTGAGATGGACGGCAGAGATGCTGCGGTGTAGGGTATTGGCCTGGGGAGGAGCTGCAGGGTATTATTATTTTCTGGTTCATGGCCATAATAATATTGTGGTATCCATGAGTTTAGTATAGGTGTTGAAGAGCTTCTCATAAGCATCTTTTTTTTTCTTCTTTTCTTTTTTTCTTTTTTTTCTTGTATTTTTATTTAGAAAAAAAAAATGAAATAAAATAATTGTTGGTTTTAGTTTTAGTAGGAACTGAGAGAATTCAAAACAGAGAGATTTTCTAGATCTATCTCTATTCCAACATATATTGGAGAGAAGGGGTTGGTTTTATATATAAATATATAATATAAAAGTTAAAAGTACTCTTTTTTTTTTGGGAAAAAGTTAAAAACTATCAAATTAAATGATCATTAATTCGATACGGGTCGGGTCACTTGAGATAAGTAACTCAGGAGTCGAGTTTATGGAGTATAAATTATGTTAGCCGGCTCTATATATATTACGTTTTTATAGATTAAATTAACTTATATAGTCATATATATGGTTATTTATTGGTCTAAAATAAGAAATTAATATTCGCTAAACGTTATTGAAATCTAATTTTCTTCAATGTTAGGAAATACTCCAATTTTTCGTATTTTGCTAAAATTATTTGGAACAACTTAGACGAGCATCTTAGAAGAAATATTACGAGATATTAGACTGATATCTTAGCACTACATGTATATATACATTTGACAACACATTCCTCAATCGTACATAACAAATAAAAATCTTCGGTTTAAATGATTACGTCATCCTTAACACACCTTATTTGATTCGGGACTGGTTTAAAAACCCGCTTTATAAAACGGGTCGGGTCCAATTGAAAAATTCACCACATTCGAATCAATGACTAACCAAACCCTAGTTACGGTCCGGATCCGAGTCCAAACAAGCCCGTCGGTTATCTATACGAATATGAACTTATCTAAGATATTTTCAAATGTGTGATGATATATCACTCAAATAAGGAAAGTCAAATAAATAATATAATATATATATATATATATATATATATATATATATATATATAGATAGATATATATATATATATATATATATATATATATATATATATATTATACGTATAGGACTTACTTTTTGGTTTTCAAAAATTGCTATTTGCAGTTCATACTTATTTTTTTCTCCCCCTAGAAAAAATCTCTCTCTTTAACAATAGAAGCAGGAAGCTAATATAGCATAAAATCATCTTTGTTGAAGTGAAATACGAACACAAATGAGCTCATCGGATGAAGATCGGGATACACATCACAACGAGGTAAAAATTTCGTCATTTTGTTCAAAAAATCTGGACAGAAAAGGCAAAAGCCCAACCCGGGCGCCTGAAGCTATTTTACACTCCCAAGTTGGGCGTGTAAACCGTCAATCCACGCCCAAACCGGGTGTGCAAATCAGCTTCTGGCTCCCCCCCCCAATTTTTTTTGCTTTTTATTTTTTATTAATTATTTTTACGCTTTTTTCAGGGAAACTGATACAATGCGAGGTAGACGTCAAGCGTGCGATATTCTAAATAGTGTTTGATTTAGTTTAATTTTATTGAATTTAATGTATTATAGTAGTTTATTATGTCGAATTTAGTACTTTATTATGTCCAACTTAGTACTTTATTATGTCGAACTTAATATTTTATTATGTCGAACTTAGTATTTCTATTGGATTGACAAATTCGAATAAAAAATAAAAGACCAACAATCCTGAATCAAGAAAACAAAATAAAAAAGACCAACAATCGAACATCAACAAGTGCTCGTGGTTGTTTAAAAATCATCGTCCGTTCGCCACGCCGTGTAGAACTAGTAACCTTTTGATTATGTCTGGGACGAATCATAGGCCCCTTCTCTTTTTACATCTTCAATTTTTTAACCAATTAGACGTCCTGAAAATATAAGAGATATTCAAATGAGTAAAATTGAAATTAAAAAAAAATTAAAAAAAAAATAAAACAAAATAAATAACAGAACGCCCAGACCGGGCGCCCATTCCCGAACCGGACACCCAGACCGGGCGTTCACCAAGCACAATTTTGAACCAAGATAGCCATATCATTCGATTTTTAGGGTTGTTTAAAATACAATTACAACCGAAATTTCCTACCCAATGCAATTAAAACGTTTAGGAATTAAAAATACCTCAAAATTTCGATAAATTTGGCTTGATTTGGCTTCAATTCGAACTTTTTGGATTTTTTTTTTCTTTTGAATTTTTTTTAAAGAGATAAAGTTTTTTGTAGAATGAATTGGAAATAGCAATTTTCAGACACCAAAAAGCATTTCACAATAATATTTAATTAGCCACTGCCTTTTTGAGTTTTGACCCAAAATAAATGTGGGGGGTGGGGGGGGTGTGGGGCGATGTAGCTATTGACGGCTATAATTCACTTGATCACGTGACTAACCATCTGCTGGCCAATAACCAAAATGTTGGCTGGAAAGTGAGCAACCATGAGAGGGAAATCAGTCAACACTATAATAATAATTATTATTATTAATAATATTAATAATAAATAAATAAATAAAATAAAATATTATATAATGGAGATAGAATATTATTAGTGGCTGAGAATTGACATTTCCTTTTGTGGGACAAATGTTTTGGGCCTCACTGAGTTTTAGTTAAATAAATGGGTCACTACTTTTCAACGGTGATTGTAAGCCCGCCAGTCCAAATGCCAATTTTGTCTCCTATCTATTTTTCAAACCATTGTTTTTTATTTTTATTTTTTTTTTATTTATTTATTATTTTTAATGAATGGGTAAGCATTGTAAATATTTATCGTCTGAGAAACTCAAAATTCTGGCTCCACTAATGACCCCATCAAAAAAAGAAAAGAAAACTAATCTGCAAGGGTGACCTAGTTGATGTAATAAGAAAACACAATATATAACGATCCAAATTTCGATTCTTGACCTGCCGATATTTTTTCGGATCGAGCTCGTTGTACATTTACTTTGTCTAAAGTGGGTTTAATTTTGCGTGGTTTACGAATTATTGCACAAGAGTAAAGTTTCTACGTTGCAGATGTATATCTGTCAATAAAAAATAAAAATAAAAATAAAAAACAAAAAAAAGGAGGAATAAATAAATTGAAAAGATAAACTAGCGATAGCAATGTTACACCACAAGGATCTCAAAATGGCAATTTGGTTGGGACCATTTGAAGATGAATTTCCCAAAAGAAATTTGTATGATTGAGAATTGTATGTGGCTCACACTCAATTATCAACCTCACAAAGCTTTATATATATATATATATATATATATATATATATATATTTTATAGAGAGATATATATGAGATCAACAAATGCATTTAATTTGCCTCACTATTATTTTATTGGCTCGTCGATTAAATTGATGGGTTAATCATAAAAAGGCCCATGACAGGGCACTTAATTAAAAGAGGAACATCTAATTTTTTTGTTTTTCAAATAAATTCAGCTCATTCAAACTTATTTGCAAAAAAGGAAAATCCTTTTATATATACCAACATTACCCCCACTTCATTGAAACTCAATTCAACTCCAATTTCATGATTTACACCACAATCTAGCCCAATTTCATCAATTAACCAATTTTAACCCTAATTTTAATTTTGACCCGGCACCACTGGAGACCGTCGGTCTCCGACGTTGACTTTTTTTTTTTTTTTGGAAAACTTTTTTTTTCCTGAAATTTTTTTCCGACCGGTCAACTGCCGGGTCTCCGGCGTCGACTTTTTTTTTATATAATTTTGTTTTTTCTTAAAAAAAATATTTTAATTAATATTACTGTCTTGTCTGCTAAATTACTGTCTCCAGCAGTTATTTAACTGTCGGAGACAGTAATTCAACTGTTAATTGATTTTTTTTTAAATATTTTAATTAATATTACTGTATTCTTTGCTAAATTATTGTCTCCAGCAGTTATTTAACTGTCGGAGACATTAATTTAACTGTTAATTGACTTTTTTATTCTAAAAAAATA